GAAGAGTTTGTTTCTTCCATGAGTGAGAGAGCACCCTCAGCTGGGTGGTGACACTGAGCTACCCCCAGCCACCCGCCTGGGTGCAGGGCGAGCGCAGGTCCCCAGACACGGACCTGGAACCTTCCTGCCGGGTCGGCCCTCAGAGCCTGTGACCGCTGCACCGCGTCTAGCCCCTTGACGTTCTTGAAGTTCATCATAAAAGATAAAAGCTGGAAGAGCCTGCCCGGCACGGTGCGGCAAAGTGGGGCTGTGGGAGCTTGGACTAGGGAAGAGGAGGAGTGGGCCTCTTCCTGGGTGGAAAAGAGTGAGGAGTGGGGCCAGCAGAGGGGGTGGTGGTTAAGATGCTGGACTCCCACATGGTAGACCGCAGTTCGAGTCCCAAACCTGGCAGCTTGCTTTCTCAGTTTACCCTCTCTCTCTCTCTGTCCCTCTCTGGTCAAATTAAAAATAAGTAATAAATAGGGAACCAGCAGTTAGCATAATGGCTATGTCGCTGGACTCCCACGTAGTCGACCGCGGTTCGCGTCCCAGACCCGGTGGCTTAAAACTCACACCGGGTGCGTGTGCGTGCGTGCCCAAGATCCCGAGAGGAGAATGGAGGAGAAGGGATTGCAGCGTGACCATCCCCCCTGGGGGGTGATTTCTCGCTTTCTGTCTCTCTGTCTCTCTCTGTCTGGCGAGCGCACACGCCCTATAGCAAAATCCTCTCCAAAAAAAAAAAAGTAATAAATAAAGTTAAATAAAGTAAGTCTTTTTTAAAAATACTACTAATAAAATGTATTTAAAAAGTGAAGAAGGACAGAAAGGCATAAAAGGCTATTTCTTAGTCAGGGAGGGAAGACCCCAGCTGCCCAAGGGGCACCAGGGACAAACTCTCTCCCTTTGCTCTGACCCTGGAGATGCTGTCCCCACGTGTCCCCACGTGTCCCCACGTACCCAGCCGCCGCCTGAGGCTGCTTGATCCACCTTCCCGCTGCTCCTCCCTCCTCCCAGGCTTTACCTAGAGGGACAGGTCACCTGGCCGAGGTCCCACCGCTAGTGAGTAGGGAAACCAGGTCACGTTATAGACAAAACCAACGAAAGGGGTCCGAAGGGAAAGGACGTGAGAAGAGAGAAGACATATTTTCCCCTCCCCCGTATGTCTTTGAAAAGCGCCACGCCGCCAAGTCTGAGACAGTGCTTTACTTGGAGGTACTAAATCCTGATGGCGGCAAGTGAGCCCTGACGACCCGGAGGTCCACGGTGACGCCCGGGGCCAGACAGGGTGTAGTTCATAGACTTGGCCACGAGTCGTCGCTGTTAGAAAAGAATTCGCCGCGTCGCCGGCCCAGGCTGCGAGCGAGGTCTCGCCGGCGCTCCTCTCCAGGTGTGCGCTGTCTCCGTCCAACCAAAATACGATCAGGTCATTTCCGTGCACGAGGTACAGTGGAAAGTGCGCGGAAGGTCTCCCTGGCGCTCACCCATTTCCCCGGTCTCCTCTCCTGTCTGAGCATGGGAGGACTACGCTCCCCACCCCCGTCCTGCGGGTGGGCTGTGACCACAGGCGACGCGCGTCACTTCCTGGTTGTCGCCTTTAAAGGCTGGTCCCGGATTCTCCGTGCCCTCTCCCTGCGGTGTTCGCTGAAGGTCAACAGAATGGAGCCTCCACCCATTCAGAGCTGCACTGCCCAATCAGACACCACTAGTCACACATCCCATGCATTTAAAGGTAAATCGAAACGGAATGAGGCCCAGCTTTGATGGCGCAGGTGGTCGTGAACCGATCTGCAGCGCTGGAAGCCACACAGCAGATCACAGGTTCGGATCCTGTGAGTCAACCTGAAACAAGTTGGGCACATGAGCCCAAGGTCCTGGCGAGCTGGAGGGCTGAGGGAAGGTGCTTGCTCGTCATGAGACCCTGTTGCAGATGCCTGTCTTCTCTGTCTCACATGCACTTTCTCATAAAAATAATAATAATAAAGTAAATTTAAAATCATCACACACACACACACTTTCTCATTAAAAAAAAGTAAACCGGGGACCAGCAGGTGGTGTGATGGTTAAAGGCACTGGATTCCCACATGGCCGACTGTGGTTCAAGTCCTGGACCTGGCAGCTTGCTCTCTCACTCTCTCTCTCTCTCTCTCTCTCTCTCTGATCAAACTGAAAAATAATAATAGTAATAACAATAAAGTTAAATAAAAATAATTTTTAAAAAAGTAAACTTAAAAGAAAATAAAATCAAAGGCAGATCTGAGGTTTCCTCCTACCTCTTTGCTGGCTACCATGCAAGAGAATTTTTTACTTCAAAAATAATAATAGGGGCGGGACCAGCAGTTAGCGTAATGGCTATGTCGCTAAACTCCCATGTAGTCGACCACAGTTCACGTCCCGGGCCCAGTGACTTAAAACACGCAGGCGCGTGTGCGTGCGTGCCCAAGATCCCAAGAGGAAAATGGAGGAGAAGGGATTGTGGCATGGCCATCCCCCCTGGGGGGTGATTTCTCGCTTTCTGTCTCTCTGTCTCTGTCTGTCTGGTGAGTGGACACTCCCACATGGCTAGCCATGGTTCAAGTCCCAAACCTGGTGGCTTGTTTTCTCACTTTATCTCTCTCTGTCTCTATCTGTGTGTGTGTGTGTGTCTTTCTCTGGGAATATTAAAATAGTAATAAATAAAGTTTTTTAAAAAATCATGCCAGACGGGAACCAGCAGTTAGCGTAATGGCTATGTCGCTGGACTCCCACGTAGTCGACCGCGGTTCGTGTCCCGGACCTGGTGGCTTAAAACTCACGCCGGGCGCGTGTGCGTGCGTGCCCAAGATCCCGAGAGGAGAATGGAGGAGAAGGGATTGCGGCATGACCATCCCCCCTGGGGGGTGATTTCTCGCTTTCTATCTCTATGTCTCTCTCTGTCTGTCTGGCGAGCGCACGCGCCCTACAGTGAAAATCTCTCCAAAAAAAAAAAAAAAATCATGCCAGGCCTCTGAGAGCTTGCCCAAAACCTTAGGAGGAGAATGGAGGGGAGGGAACTGTCCTGGGGAGTGATTTTTCACTTTCTCACTGTCTCTCTCTCCTCTCTAGCTAGCACACACACCCTATGGCAAAAACCTTAAATAATAAGAATAAAATCAGGGACCAGCGGGTGGCATGGTGGTTAAGGTGCTGAACAGTCCCACATGGCTGATCAAGGTTTGAGTCCCAGACCTGGAAGGTTGCTTTCCCACTTTCCCTCTCTCTCTGGTTGAATTAAAATAAATGAATAAATAAATAAAAATTTTAAGAATAATAATAATAAAATCATCCTTGGGAGACCAGCTGGTGGTGTGGTGGTTAAGGTGCTGGACACTCCTGCATGGGCTACCATGGTTCGAGTCGAGTCCCGGAGCTGGTGCTTGCTTTCTCATTTCCTCTCTTGCTGTGTCTCTCTCTCTGGTCAAATTAAAAAAAAAAAAAAAAAAAAACCCCAAAAGGATAAAAATTTTTTTTTTTTTTTTAAATCATCCTGAGCCAGCCTTATGGCACAACTCTGATGTTCTGCTCAAGAGAAGCCAGATCCCACATGGTGACTGCAGTTGGAGTCCCCGGCCTGGTCAGCCTGAGACATGTGGGCACGCATGCTGGTGTCCAAGAGCCGACAAGCTGGAGGACCAGGTGTGCTCAGACCCTGTGGAAGGTGCTCCTCTCTCTCACGGTCTCGCTCTCTCTCCCATGCACATGCACATGTTCCATCATAAATAAAAAACAGAATGCATAAATAAATCATCCGGTTTCTCAGTCACCACATTGCAAGTGTTCAGCAGCAGCATGAAGTCCCCGGGCAGGGCAGCTGAAGTAAATGCCACCACGGCGGAAGGTTCTAGCGGACGGCGTTACTCTAGATTGCTGGCTGCGGTGCAGACGGCTGGCCCAGAGAGGGCTTTGCCTGTGCCATGCTAATCCACTGGGATGTGGGCTCGCTTTTGTTTGCTGGTTTCCAGTGAAGCACAGCCCAGCCTGGCCAGACCCTGCCAAACTTCTTTCCTAAACAAAGATCCTGTGTCACTGAAATGGTCAGCCAGCGCTACAACGTGACTCGGCTAAACCGAAAGGAGAAGGGAGAGGGGAGGACGACAGCCTGTGCTGACCCTGCAGAAGCCGTGCTGGCGAAACAAGGGTCCGTCAGCCTCCGCTGGGCCTCAGGGCTCCCCTGCCTCTGCCAAGTCTCTAGAATCACTACAAAGGAAGAGTGTGGGACTGCGTTCCTTGCTGCCATTGTTGATGGTTAGCTCGTGGCTCTTCCCAGAGAATACGGGCAGTTCCAAGGGCCATCAGCACTTGGCTTAAACAAGGAACCATTTTATTTCTCTCCTAGAACAAGCGGCTCAAGGCTTGAGTTAACCAGGTTAGAACTGGGGGGGAGGGGGGACTAGCAAGTGGCATGGTGGTTGAGGCACTGGACTCCCACATGGTCGATGGCAATTTCAGTCCCAGACCCAGTGGCTTGAAACTCACACTGGGTATGTGTGCACGCATGTCAAACATCCCAAGAGATGAGTGGAGGAGAAGGGATTATGGTGAGTGGCCAACCCCTGCCCTGGGGGGATGATTTCTCACTTTCTGTCTGTGTCTCCAGAGTGCACACACCCTATAGTAAAAATCTCAACAAAGCGGGGCCGGCAGGTGGCATGGTGGATAGGGGTGCTGGACTCCCACATGGCTGACCACGGTTCAAGTCTTGGACCTGGTGGCTTGCTTTCTCACTTTCTCTCTCTCTCTCTGTCTCTCTCTGATCAAACTGGAAAATAGTAATGATAATAATAAATTTTAAAAAGTTAAAATAATTCTAAAAAAAAATCTCAACAAAGAAAGAGAGAGAAAAGAAGGAAGGAAGGAAGGAAAGGAGGGAGGGAGGGAGGAAGGAAAAGAAAGAAAGCGAAAGAAAAAAATGACAATTTGGGGGCCAGCAGGTGGCATGGTGATTAAAGCTATGGTTTCCACATGGCTGACCGTAGTTCAAACTCAGAAACTGGGGACTTGAAAATCACACGGCCATACCTGCATGCATGCCCAAAATCCTGAGAGGAGAATGGAGAAGGGATTGAAGCATAGACATTGTCCTGGGGGGTGATTTCTCCTCTCTCTGTCACTCTGCTGAGAGCCTGCCCTATGGCAAGAACCTACAAAAAAAAAAAAAAGAAAAGAAAAGAAAAAAAGGAAGAGGAGGAGAATAAATGGCAGTTTGGAATGAGACTCTGGAGGCAAGCACTCAGGGACCACATGAGGACACAAGGAGGTGGCGGCCACCTACCAGACAAGAACAGAAGCCTCGAGACAAACTCAACCTGCTGGCATCCTAATCTGGGACTGTGGCCTCCAGAACTGAGAGTAAGCCCTGTTACAGAAGTTACCTGGTTAGTGAGCTGTTACAGTAGTTACCTAGTTAGTGAGCTGTTACAGTAGTTATCTTGTTAGTGAGCTGTTAACAGTAGTTACCTAGTTAGTGAGCTGTTACAGTAGTTACCTAGTTAGTGAGCTCTGTTACAGTAGTTACCTGGTTAGAGAGCTCTTTTATAGTATTTACCTAGTGAGTTGTTACAGTAGTCATCTAGTTAGTGAGCTGTTATAGTAGTTACCTATTTAGTGAGCTGTTACAGTAGTTACCTGGTTAGAGAGCTCTTTTATAGTACTTACCTAGTGAGCTGTTACAGTAGTCATCTAGTTAGTGAGCTGTTACAGTAGTTACCTATTTAGTGAGCTGTTACAGTAGTTACCTGGTTAGAGAGCTCTGTTATAGTACTTACCTAGTTAGTGAGCTATTACAGTAGTTATCTAGTTAGTGAGCTGTTGCAGTAGTTACCTGGTTAGTGAGCTGTTATAGTAGTTACCTGGTTAGAGAGCTCTGTTATAGTACTTACCTAGTTAGTGAGCTCTGTTATAGTACTTACCAAGTTAGTGAGCTGTTACAGTAGTTATCTAGTTAGTGAGCTGTTACAGTAGTTATCTCGTTAGTGAGCTGCTACAGTATTTATCTAGTTAGTGAACTGTTACAATGTTACCTAGTTAGTGAGTTGTTACAGTAGTTATCTCGTTAGTGAGCTGTTATAGTACATAATCTAATTAGTAAGCTGTTACCATAGTCATCTCGTTGGCAAGCTCTGCTACAGTAGTTATCTGTTAGTGAGCTCTTACAGTAGTTACCTAGTTAGTGAGCTGCTACAGTAGTTACCTAGTTAGTGAGCTCTGCTACAGTAGTTACCTAGTTAGTGAGCTGTTAGTCGTTATCTCCTTAGTGAACTGTTACAGTAGTTACCTAGTGAGCTGTTACAGTAGTCATCTCGTTAGTGAGCTGTTACAGTAGTCATCTAGTGAGCTGTTACAGTAGTTACCTAGTGAGCTGTTACAGTAGTTATCTAGTGAGCTGTTACAGTAGTTATCTAGTTAGTGAGCTGTTACAGTAGTTACCTAGTGAGTTGTTACAGTAGTTATCTAGTTAGTGAGTTGTTACAGTAGTTTTCTAGTGAGCTGTTACAGTAGTCATCTAGTTAGTAAGCTCTGTTACAGTGCATCATCTAATTAGTAAGCTGTCACAGAAGTTATCTTGTTAGTAAACTGTCACAGTAGTTATCTAGTTAGTGAGCCATCACAGTAGTTACTTACTTAGTGAGCCATCACAGTAGTTACTTACTTAGTGAGCCGTCACGGTAGTTACTTATTTAGTGAGCCATCACGGTAGTTACTTACTCAGTGAGCCGTCACGGTAGTTACTTACTTAGTGAGCTGTCATGGTAGTTACCTCATTAGTGAGCGAGCTGTCACGGTAGTTACCTCTTTAGTTAATGAGCCCTTACGGTAGTTACCTGGTTAGCTGTTACAGTAGTTACCTGGTTAGTGAGCTGTTACGGTAGTTACCTCGTTAGTGAGCTGTTACGATAGTTACCTCGTTAGTGAGCTGTTACGGTAGTTACCTGGTTAGTGAGCTGTTATGGTAGTTACCTAGTTAGTGAGCTGTTATGGTAGTTATCTAGTTAGTGAGCTGTTACAGTACATCATCTAGTTAGTGAGAGCTGTCACAGTAGTTACCTAGCAACAGGAAGTGGCTGTACTGTTACGGCAACCCTAGCAGGCCAATATAATGGCCCTGTTGCCCACCATTGAGACACAGCCCGGGACTGCAGGGGTCCCAGCAGCTCAGCAGGCTGATGGCAAGAGGATCGGTTCAAGGCTGTCCTGTCCTACGTTTAGCGAGACCTGTCTGTTTAGAAACAAGCAGGGCATGGCTGGGCACACCTGTGGTCCCAGCTGGGAGGCTGAGGCAGCAGGATCTTGATAAACAAGATCCTTCAAAAGAAGAGAGTTAGGGGCCACGGTGTGATTTCTTAAAGGATCTGGGAATCTGGGTCTTACCTAAATTAACACCGCTGCAGCTGCTCCCTCTCCTGCACCACCTCAGGGTCACTCTGAAGGGCTTAGAGCAATGGGCCTGGCATATGCCAAGCACGCGACATGTGGGCAATGGATTCTGGGATGGCGACTGGAGGGAGGGGGCAGCACGAGGAAGACAGGACACTCAGACACATTCAGTTCAACTCATCCCATGTTTATTGACTCACAAATTGCAATCAGAATCACCCAGGGGGTCCCTCCCATAGCTTCCCCTTGAGAAAGAATCCTGAGCCAGGACCTCCCCCATGTTCAAGGGTAGACGGGGAGACATGGGGGCACACAGGAAGAGGGGATGGAAAGCAGGAACAGGAGACGGGCAAGGCAGGGAGGGAGCAAAGGCAGATTCTGGGGGAAAGACACACTTGGAGGCAAAGACCACAGGCAATGACCCCTTCCCCACCCAGCAGCCGCGAGAATATCGGGGAAAGACCAGGCGTCCACAAGACATTTCAGTCTTTCCTGTCATGAAGCGTCCGCCGAGAGGAGCTGGAGCAAGGTCCGGACTGTGGAGAGAAAAGGGGTGAGGGAGATGAGCCTGCAGGGAGAGGTCAGGTCAGAGTCCATGTCAGAAAGACAGGGCTGGATGGTCGTCCAGTGGTCAGACACCACGCTCCACGAGACTGATCCACACAGGAAGGTTCCAGGTTCATATCCAGGGACCTCCCTGAGGGCACTGGGCATGTGCCCATGATCTGGGGTGGGCTGGAGCTGGAAGGTGGCATGAGACCTTGCCAGGGGTACCTTCCTGTCTCTGCCTCTCCTGCTCATGGAAGAAATAAAGTGTAAGGGAGGGAAATGCAGATGCAGAGAGAAACTGAGGCAGGAGGCAAACAGGATGCCCTGGGAGGTAGGGAAATCATGACCACAAAGCCAGCTGAGCCTGCAGTGCAGAACTTGACGAGGAAAACGAGGCAGCTGCTCAGAGTTCACAGAGCCAAACACGCTCTCCACAGCGAGCTCGGTCTCCAGAGAACCGTCAATGGCAGGCATTGTCTACTACCCCTGGTGGGTACACATGTGCTGTGCCCCACACAGCCCTCTGCAACTCAGCACCTGGCTGACACAGTCACCTTGTCCCAAGAAAGGCCTGGTCCTGCCCAGCTCCGGGAAGGGAACCTCTGATCCTCTGGGCTGACCTGCCCTTATCCAATGGTAAGGGTGTCATGGTGTATCTGGGACCTTGGGCCACACCAGACAGTCTGAGCTACTAATGTGACGGGGGGGAGGGGGGGGCCTTGGGCCAAGCAGTGTCACCTCAGCCTCTGGAGAATAAGGTCATCCACACACAGCCAGCCATGTCTACATGAACTACCCAATAAAAACCTGCACCCTAGGAATGGCTGGGCTTCTCAGGCTAAACAGTGCATTTGGACACCCGAATCTGCTGAGAGGGCAGCTGGGAACTCCTGTTGGCCTCCCGGACTCTGTACCTCTTCCCTCTGAGTGCCATGTACAGGTGAGAGAGAGCACCTTCCAATGGGTCTGGTCACATGGAGATCCCCCACTTCCAGCCTGCTGGACCCTAGGTATAGCTCAGGCTGATCGGGCTAGGGATTCAAACCGGTCACCAGCTGGGATCCAGCTTCTTCTGAGCCATGCATTAATGCCACAACTCAGATGTACCCTCCCCACCCCTTCAGTGCTGTTACTCTGTGTCCTTCACTGTAATAAACAGTAATCATAGGATAAACCTCAGGCCAAACCTGGGGACACCCTCAGGGTACCCATAGGACGTGCCAGCCAGAACCACTGTGCCCAACTGCTTTCTCCCCTCTTCTAAAAATTCCACGTTTGCAGAGGGTGCAGGAAAGTCACCTTCCAACTGACCTCTCTGGAATCCAAGTACACTTCGGGCTGAATAAAACAGCCGGATTCGAGTGGCTGGCGGCTTGGAAGTGGCTGAGGGTGTTTACACCCGGGACCTGCTCTACTTCACTCCTCAGGAACTCAAATCCCACCCTCCCCACAGCAGTGACCCACAAAGTCCTCAGCTCGTGCAGCCGTGGGTTTCTGTAATTTTTTTCCTCTGGGGCAGATTGGCTTCATTTCAGATGTACACAGGAGGCACGATTTCTAAGGGGGGGGGGTCTTCAAAAAAATTCATGGAAAATGTATATGATTGGGGGGGGAAAGAGGGGGGATTTCAATTTTTCCCCCCACCAAAACAAACATGTACTTTAATTCCATCTTTCCAAACGTCTTGAAGTACGTTTCTGGTTCCGTATGGCAAGACCTCCAGCTTCCCTGTCCATGCTCACACTGAACGGGACCTCATCCCTCTCTGGGAGAGAATCCCAGGGCTGACCCCGTGCGCAGCAGTTAAGGGCAGTGCACGGGAAGCCCGCTCCCACACGGCCAACGTCGCCTGAGCGCCAGCCCCGCGGCCTCAACACAGGTGTGTGTGCATACGTGCCCCAAACCCTGACGGGACGGGGTACCCCACTGTGGGAGAGGTCTCTCTCTCGTGTCCTCTGGCAATCAAATATATATATATATACTCCAGAAAGTGGAACTTGAGTTGAAAGCCTCTGAGAACTATTTTTCCAGAAGAATGCATACCAGGACCGCCAGCCTGTAGCATGGTGGCTACAGCAGCTGGATCCGAAGTGGCCAACTACACAGTTCAAGGCCCGGATCCCGGGGCTTAGGAGGCACGCTGGGCACATGTGCATGTGTACCCGCGGTCCAAAGAGAATGGATGAGAAGGGATCACAGAATGGTCATCCCCTGGGGAGTGAGCTCTCACTTTCTCTCTCCGCCCCAGCCCCTCAGAGAGCACACATGCCCTATAGCAAACAAATAATAATAGTAATAATAATAATAAAAGTGGCCACAGAGGGGGCAGGTACCAGGCCTGCACCATGCAAGGTTGGGACACTCAGGTCTAGACCACCCAGAATGGGTCAGGCTGACGCTCAGAGGGAGAGTATTCTAGGCTCTGGAGTGGCACTAACCACTTGGCTCTGAACTGGGCCAATACTGAGCCCGGTTCTAGAGCAGGCTGGGTCTGGAGCTAGCTGGGACACGCTGGCTTGACACCTGGCTTGGGAAGCAGCCCGATGTCCCTGAGGGTAATACGGAAGTGGCTCCTCGTGCCTGGCCTACTGGGCTGGGGCTAGTCCTTGGCTCGCAGCGTAAGAACCAGCACTTGCTTCCCAGAACTGCCCAGACGGTTCCAGAACGCGCTCACGAGCTGGTTCCCCAGTCTCAGGGCTGGGCTGGGAAGAGCCAGGTTACAGAGCCTGGGAGCTGGCATCACGTTTGAACCCCGTCGGTACTGGGGGAACTGGGGGTCTGCCCTGGGGTAGCCCCGGGGCAGGTGATGGTCTCTACAGTTAGCACCTGTCTCTAGAGCATTCTAGGGCCTAGGGCGGTCAGCTGCAGCCAGCATTTCTGGGGCTGCAGTCGGCTGGAGAGTGCTCCTAGACAGAGTTCTCCGGTTCGGGCCTGACGGTAATTAGCCATCTAGTCCCACTGCTGGGCATGGGAAACCTGGCTCACACCCCACTGGGAGCTTGGGCGGACACTCGCTATATAGCCCGCTGGTCAGCGAACTAGTTCTGGGACAAACACCCACAGCCCAGATCTGTATGATGGGTCTCTTTGACACACCTTTCTTTCTTTTTTTTTTTTTTTAGAAGTAGGTACTTTAAATAAAGAATTATTTATCGTTACCATTATTATTTAATTTGCTACGGGGTACATATGCTCCAGAGAGAGAGAGAGAAGGTGAGAAAGCAAGCTGCCACATCTAGGACTCAAAACGCCATCAGCCATGTGGGAGTCCAGCACCTTAGTCACCACGCCACCTGCTGGCCCTGCCGCCTTTCTTTCCTTGTTTTTAAGAGAGATTTTTGCTATAGGCCTTGTGTGCTCAACAGGAACAGAAAGAGACAGACAGAAAGCGAGAAATCACACCCCAGGAGGGATGACTACACCACGATCCCTTCTCCATTCTCTACTCAGGATCTTAAGTGGGCACGCACGCACATGAGCCCGGTGTGAGCTTTACGCCACCAGGTCCGGGATTGGAACTGTGGTTGAGCACGTGGGAGTCCAGAACAACCATTATGCCATCTGTTGGCCCTTGGGCACCTTTCTATTCCCAAACCAGGAAGCTGTTTTAGGGGAGCCCTCTGACCCCACCACCATCTCAGGTGGTGTAACCCTCCTGTCTGGGGACACAGCTGGCACGTCTCCACCCTGGGCAGGAGAATCTGTGTAAGGGTGGGGAAGAACCAGTAGGTGGTGCCCGTCTCAGCGGCCCCTCACCTCTGCCTTTGGGGCGCATCAGCCCTGAGCCAGGGCAGTCTTGATGGCAGCCACCAGCTTCAGAAACTTGCTCTCTGTGTCCACGAAGCCATCACCTCTCTGGGGAGGGGAGGAGGGAGAAGACGGGAGCTGGGACGGGGACACCAACCTCAGCCCCAACACAGGACAGACAAGGCGGGACAGACAGACATACCTTCTTGGAGTGAACCAACTTCCCTGCTACCATCACTTCAAAGAACCCGGTGGTCTGGGGAGTCCCCTCGCCACACTGACAAGAGGGGGCAGATGTGAGAGGCGCAGAGATGTCCCCCCTCTTGGGCACTCCATCCCCTTCCCAGGGAAGGACCCGCATGCGTGAAGGGGGTTGGGCTGACCTAACCCACTCCCACCGCCACCCAGGCCTGAGGGACCCAGAGGTGACCCTATGGGATCCCTTCCTTCTCAGGCCCCCACACTTACGATGTCCAGACATCCGGGGAACTCATCTTCCAACTTCTTCTTGAGCTGAAGATACTGGAAACGGGGTGGGAGTTCACAACGGGGTCCCCACCACCACCACCACCCTCCAGGGACACGCCTGGCCCCACCCCGCTTACCTTGGGCTTGTAGCCTCAAGCGCCACTGTGGGGGTGTCCAAGGGGGTTCCCAGGGGAGACCAACAGGTGGAGACAGGCAGCAGGGGGGACAGCAAGTGGGAGAGAGACAACACAGGCGACAGGCAAGGGCGATGACAGACACAGACGCCAGACACAAGGTGTCGCAGAACGCACAGAGCGGGACACAGAAGACAGGTTTCCAGAAGGAAAACCGACACCACCGAGCACAGGGGCCAAGGAGACAGGCAGGGAAGGGCCACACGGGGACAGAGGCGGCCACAGGGAGGGAGAACTGGGTTAGGATAAGAACGGCCTTCGCCATCCCCGCGGCTCCCACTGCAGCCCCGCTCCTGGATTCCAAAGGCCGGCGGGTCCTGGCCTGGAGTCGGAGCCTCCCCACCCTCCCGGCGCTATCACGGAACTCGCATCCGGGGCACACGCCCGGTGGCAGCTCTCATGTCACTCCAGCCTCTGCTTTGCTGGGTGGGCAGAGACATTTCCAAAGCCCAGCATGAATTCAGTCAGCTCTTTCCGAAACACAGGCAGGGGTATTCTCGAACCTTCTCTCACTCCGGGACAGTTCGGAGATATTGGGGGAGGGAAACCTAACAGGGGGCAGCAGGCTATGGCCCCATTAGTAACTGATTCCACCCGCTCCCCATCGGAGCCCCGGGCTCGTGTTTAACGTGAGCACACACGCCCAGCTATGTGCGAGCGGTGAAGGCGGCTGGGTCCCCTATGGCGGCTGCAGTTCGAGTCCTAAACGGCGCTTCTTGAAAAAACACGCCGGGAGCGTGTGCGTGCGTCCCCAGCGGCGCCTGCGGCCTGGCCTGGCCACCCCATCCCCCACCCCGGGCGGGGGCGGCGTTCTCATTTTTTCTCTACCCCCTCGCCTACGCCCAGCGCCCACGCCCTATAGTCAATTTTTTTTTCCAACTGTTGGTCATTTCTTCTTCCCCCAAAAGAAATTTTAAAATAGGCGCGCACACACACAGCTTTAAAATCTGAAAAAGTCCAACATGTCACAAACCGGGGACCCGAGGGCCGACGCCGCTCCTCACGCCCACCCGGCAACCCCTTTTCCCGAGAGGCTTCCTCCTGGCGCCCCCAAGCCCTGGCTCCGGCCGGGCGGGGGTCGGCGAGGTGCCGCACTCACCAGTACACGACTTGCACGGGGAGAGCCATGGCTCGGGAACGCGACACGGCTGCACAGGGACGCGGGACAGCTGCGGGCGCGGATGCAGCTGGGCTGGGGCCGCACGTGCGCACAAAGGCTGCCGTCCGCGCCCCGCGGCGCCGACCAACGCCGGGGACAGGGGGCGCGGGGCGCGGAGGGCACCCACGAGGGCGTTGGGGCTGGCAACTCGCGTCCCCAGGTCTCCAATCACGTCACTTCATATGTCCCTGACGCACTGGGGAGCATCTGGACCGAGGGAGCGGGCCCGCGAGGAGCCCTCTGAGCGCCCCCTGGCAGCTGCCCCCGCGCGCAGTGGTACGGTCCGGGGGGGCGGTGGTTTAGGACCAACCGCTCGGGCTCGGAACTGCACTGGCCGAGGTCGGGCCACCGGGAGGCCGGGGAGGGGCGGCGCCCTGGGGACTCGGGGAGGAGCGGGCTCTGGGCCCCCAGCCTCTGGCGGAGGGCACGGAGAAGTGGGGGAGGAGGGGGCGAGGCCCACAGGATTGGGGAAGACGCTGGCGCTGCGGGACCGGCGGGGTGTTGAGCGAGGGGGCCGCTGCCTGCTCACTGTCGCAGACCACCCTGCCGGCTGCAAGGGGAGGGTCTCATAGAATGTGCTGGAAGCGGGCAGTCGAGTCCGGGGAGTTAGGGTTGAGGCCTCTCTACGACCCTCGGTTCCCTGCCCAGAGGACACGGAAATCGCAGGCAGGGACTGTCTGACCCTGACAGGTGTGTGCTGCGTTCCTGTGTCAGCGGTGTCCAGGGACACAGCCCTGAAGCAGTGGACCGAGCCCCGGGCATGATCAGGGGGGTGGAGATGATGAACTGCTTATCTCCTGGGGTTGTGCCGAGTGTGGTGGAAATGTTCCTGAACTCAAGTCATGTCCGCTCGCCCAAGCGCTATAAAACCAAGCCATAGGCACATGGTGTGATGAAAGTACAGCTCTATTGCAAAGCGCAAAGCAAGGAGAGCGGGCAGCTCATGCTGAAAAGACCCGTCTCCCCGAGATGTTCCCCACATGCGTTTTTAAGGGCAAAATTAGGGGCAGAGGTCCCAGGCGCATGATCAGTTCAGTGATTGGTTCAAGAGGGCGTGATCAGCTCCTGGCCATTCCTGATTGGTGAGGCCTTAGGCATTCCCATTCCTCTTCAGGTGTCTGAACCATTCAGCCTGGAGTCTCTGAGCTCACAACCAGCAGCTTCCAGTCTACAAAGCACCTTACAGATTGAACTGGAAACCTTCTTTGCTTTAAGTAAGAGTTTTAGAGGTCAATGGCCCTCACTCATGGTCCATGTTGGTCATTAGCATAACCAAAGTCTGAAGACTTACCCCTTACTCTGGGCCATTACACTGCAAATGGACTTGATATTTCAGGAACCCTAGAACATACTTTAGGGGGTTCTTGCTCTGTTTCAGAAAGAACTAGAACAGCGTCTGGCTCGCAGGGATATCCACTCCGTAAGGGATAAGCAGCAGGGATTGGCCCTGGCATTAGTTTGTGGGCCAGCAGCGTTCAAGCACCAGTCTGCCCCCGGTGGCTGTGTGACCTCTGATCCCCGTGTCCATGGCTAGTTTTGGGGTGCCGACAGGACTAAGGAACACCTAGACACCTGGTAAGAGCATCAGCCCGGTGGCTAAGGCGCTGGATTCCCACATAGCTGACCGTGGTTTGAGTCCTGGACCTGGCAGCTTGTTTTCTCACTTTCCTTCTCTCTCTCTGTCTTTCTCTGGTCAACAGCAATAAAATAAAACAACAAAAATAATTGTAATGAATGAAAATTTATTTAAAAATATATATATTTCTTTAATTTTATCTATTATTATATTTTAATTTGACCAAAGAGAGATGTGGGGAGAGAGAGATGGAAAGTGAGAAAGCCAGCCACCAGGTTCAGGACTGAACACTGTGGTGGACCGTGTGGGAGTCCAATGCCTTAACCACCATGCCTCCTGATGGCCCCAGGTGGACCTTTTATTTCTTTTGTTTGTGACAGAGGGTGCGTGAGGGAGAGTGAGAGAAAGCAAGCCCTAGACAGGGTCTCATACTGTGACCCCTTTCCCCAGCCCTTCAGCTCCTCAGGACCTTGGGCACTCACATGCGTGCCTGGCATGTTTTGGGGCTTCCCAAGATCCAAACCCACAGTTGACCACGTAGCTTCCACTACTGCAGTTCAGTTTGCAGCCAACTTTGCCGTCAGGCTGAGCCAGATGGGTTTCTCTTGAGGGTGGAGTAGATTTTCTTCTGTTGTCTTGAGCAGCGGAATTCGGCTAACCTGCCTGTGGGCCTCGGGAGTCACACCCGCACATGGGCACGTGCATACACACACCAGGGTCTCAGGCTCTCAGCCTTGCACTGAGATTACGTCATCGGCTTCCCTGCCTCGGAGACCCCCAGACTTGGACAGAGCTGTGCTACCGGTATCCGGGGCCTCCAGCTTGCCGACAGCCTGCTGTGGGACTCACAGCCACCACAGTTGTAAGAGCTGGTTCTCCCAGTAAAACTCCTCCTGTCTATACCTACCCTATCGTTCAGTCTCCCTAGAGAACCCTGGCTAATCTAGCAGCCATCTTGGGAGTTTTGCTTTTTTTAATATTTTTAAATTTTATTTGTTATTATTATTATTTAATTTGACAAGAGAAGGAAAGAGAGAGAGAAAGTGAAAGAGCAAGCTGCCAGGTCCAAGACTTGAACCGCGGTGGCCCATGTGGGAGTCCAACAGCTTAACCACCATGGCACCTGCCGGCCCCTGTTTGTTTTTTCTTTGAGAAATTTTTGCTATAAAGCTTGTGTACTCACCAGAGACAGAAAGCAAGAAATTACCCCTTGGGGGATGTCCACACTGCAATCCCTTCTTCACCATTCTCCTCTTGGGATTTTGGGGACGCAGACACACACGCCCAGTGTGGTTCAAGCCGCCAGGGCTGGGACTCAAACTGTGGTCAACCACATGGGAGTGCCTTAACCACTACACCACCTGCTGGCCCCCACCTTGGGAGCATTTAACAAGTGTACATATGTGGAGTGCTTAACACGGGGTGGTGCAGAGTCATCGTCCCATAAAGAGAGTCCCCTCTCGTGGCTCAGACCCTCACATGGCCCCTCTGTCCGGTCCCCTCATTCCTCTTAGCATCCCAACACAGGGAACCTCTGTGCGTTGGCCCCCACCTTGGGAATGTGGAGTACTTAACACGGGGTGGTGCAGAGTCATCGTCCCATAAAGAGAGTCCCCTCTCGTGGCTCAGACCCTCACATGGCCCCTCTGTCCGGTCCCCTCATTCCTCTTAGCATCCCAACACAGGGAACCTCTGTGCGTTCAACCCCTGCTCACCCACACGCTGTTCCTGCCCTCTCCAGCTGTCTGTCCGCCAGCAACCAGCCCCAGCGTAGCGTAGGGGGAACTGTGCTTCAGTGGAAAATGGCCTCTCCGTGGCACTTCTGTCTTCTGAGGACTGTTCCCCACACACTGCTGCAAACCCAGTGACACCACGGACACACGTTGTGTCACGGCTCTGGGGACCAGAAGTCGGAGCTACGAGGGCAGCAGGGCTGGATTGTCTGACCCAGGCCATTCCCCTGGCTTCTGGTGACTGGTGTTCCCGAGTTTATAAAAGCTTCACCCCAACCCCTGCCTTCCTGTCCACATGGCGTCGTGTGTGAGTGTGTGTTGTGTGTGTGTCCGAATTTCCCTCTTTTACCAGGATACCAGCCCGGTTTTCTTGTCCGACCACAGCCACGGCTACCTGAATCCCTTCCTCCATGGATTCCTATGGATGTGTTCCCTTCCTGGCTGTGGGTTTTCTTTTCTTTTTTTTTTTTTTGGAGAGATTTTCACTGTAGGGCGCGTGCGCTCGCCAGACAGACAGAGAGAGACATAGAGACAGAAAGCGAGAAATCACCCCCCAGGGGGGATGGTCACACCGCAATCCCTTCTCCTCCATTCTCCTCTCGGGATCTTGGGCACGCACGCACACGCGCCCAGCGTGAGTTTTAAGCCACCGGGTCCGGGACACGAACCACGGTCGACTACGTGGGAGTCCAGCGACATAGCCATTACGCTAACTGCTGGTACCCCTGGCTGTGGGTTTCTGTGATGCCACCTCCCTGACCTCTCTCCTACCAGTCACTCATTCCATTCCACCACAGTGGCCTTTCTGGCCAATCTCAGGATGTTCCTGCCTCTGAACTACCTGCCGCTTTCTGATCTTTCTTTCTCAGTGAGGATTTCACATCGTCAGAGAAGCCTTCCTTAACCACGCTAAGATACCCCAGCATCCCAGTCACTCCTCGTCTTATGACACGGCTTTAGTTTTCCCAAACCATAGGTTGCACATTTGTTTACTTGTTTGGTGATTTGTCTTCTGCACTAGAATGTAGGTTCCTTGAGGGTAAGGAAGTTTGTCGTGGTTAACCATCGTATCACTAAAGCCTAACCCATAATAGGCACTGAATATGTGTTTTTGGAACCCCACCCAGAATTTTATTATTCAAGACAGATGTCAAATAATTATATTTTTCCCATTAAAAATGGCTTTGGTGAAACCCCAGTTCACAAATCACAGGTGAGAAATAAGCAGATGATACTGAGTTCTGAAGTCCTTAAAGCAGTTACAATAAATGTATCATTGAGTCCACAGACTCATGGGGTCAGCATGTTATGGTGGGGAAAGCGTATGTTATATTTCTACCTCACCACTGATGGGATCTGTGTATTCTTTGACAATTCATTTAACCTCTGATTCTAGTTTTCTTCATTGAAAGATGGGAATAATAAAAGGGGACTTTTAAAAGTTCACAGAAAGGGGACCAGCAGTTAGCGTAATGGCTATGTCGCTGGACTCCCACATAGTCAACCGTGGTTCGCGTCCCGGACTCGGTGGCTTAAACTCACACCGAGCACGTGTGCGTGTGTGCCCAAGATCCCAAGAGGAGAATGGAGGAGAAGGGATTGCGGTGTGGCCATCCCCCCTGGGGGGTGATTTCTCGCTTTCTATCTCTCTGTCTCTCTCTGTCTGGTGAGCACACGCGCCTTATAGCAAAAACCTCTTAAAAAAAAAAAGAGTTCACAGAAAGTGACTGAAGAAGAAACATTTACCAGACATAAAAATTCAT